CGCGGAAATAACTGTTCAGATATGTATTTTAATTTTCTCACGATGAGGGAATCAATAATCACCTTTTAATTTATTGAATATGAGTTCAAACATTTGCAATTTGAGCTTTAGGTACTGAACATAAATTAGTCAAACATTAACTACAATATGTTTTCATTAAATTAAGGAAAACAGGTTGTCGTTTTTATCTAAGCCAAGCCTGGGTATGGAAAAATTCAATCTCTTAGTCTTTCCATTGAATATAGAACAAAATCAGAGGTAAGAAGTGTTATTAAACCTTTTTTTTGATTTCCGTATCATAGACAATGATGTCGTTCATATTTTGACTATTTAATGACACTGCTTCCGGAAGAGCGGCAGAGTTTCCTTGTTCAACTTAAGAATAATAGTAATTGAATTTTTTGCTGTAATAAAGGCTTTAAAATATTATTATAGAGATTGCAAGATTTTGATTCACCATCATATCGGACGGAACTTACGTATGGCAATAAAAATCAATGTGGTGGAATTTATACAGAAGTGTTGACACGGGTCGGAATTTACGTTTTCCGATTTTTCCAAATTATCTTTTTTAGGTAACAGTATACCTGAAGAGGGTTCCATGTGCGGGTTTGATGTTCAGTCTTAGTAAAACCACAACCTCCCTTAGAATCGTTTTACCTTTTTCCCTTGGAATTAAAACTTTTAAAATTTTTATTAATTTTGCTTTTTATACCAAATATGTACACATATAAAAATTATTATTCCTTATTCCTTTGTTTCTCTCTAGACAATAGTATAGAACCCCAGCAAAATCTTTCATTTTTGGGAAGGACTACGAACTCGTATTTTGCAATTAAATTGGTTAATTAATGAGCATCAATTTATTGATGCTTTAAAGATTTGCTCATTTTTTTGATTTAGATGATGTTATTTAACACTTCCTTACGTTATTTATTTATTCAAAAACACAATTTACTTCATATTGTGTTTATAACCTTTAAATCAAGTGTTACTTAAAACATAATTTGAAGTATCATTTCTTTTCTTCACCACATTAACTTATAGTGTGCTAGTGTACATTTCCCTGCACCGCGCACGCGCGATTTCACAACAAGCGATTGCATCAAATATCGTCTTACTTTTAGCAGGTTTGAGGTATTCTAACGGGTCGGAGTACGAATTTATCGGTCAATTTTAATTAAGTAAGTGATTATTATTAATTGTCGGTAGTGTCATTAATTTATTTAATACAATGTTGACTGTAATTTTGCTTGAATATCTTGCATCGTTTGTTCGTAATCGTTGTCGAAAAATCCTGCTTGTTAGTCGTGGTTGGAGAAAAGTAACCGGCGAGCCGGCCATGTTGAAATGGAAAAGGTAAGTTGTTGATTCCTTTTTTAGGACTAATTACAGATTACTATAAAAAAAATGTATACATATTCAAAGGACGAATAATTCGATGATGCCCAGCAGTAGTACATTCGATTCGACCTTTCTGATTTACATTATAGGTTTGACAAAAAGACAACAAAGGCAACTAGCTGGAGGTGGTTTGCTTTAATTGAGCATACTAAGGGCAGTGATAGGGATCGAATTTATGGTTCCCATAATAATAATGATAATAGTAGTAGCATTTATTAAACAAAAACTATACAAAAACAGGATATACTATAAACCATAAACGCATATCATAATAATCAAGAAAAAAGTTCTTATTTCTTGAAACTTTTAACTTTCAATTTTGTATTATGAAACAAAATTATACTCTTCACCCCCCATCACGATGATATACTCTTATTTTCTCTTTCTTCCTCTTTCAATCAATGTTTCTCCACATTGCAGTCGTTCTTCATTCTATATCATGCTATCATTGTCATATCACTGTTTCCTTTTAAATACTTTGGTAGTGTATCTCTCTGCCAGTCTTCCCACAATCATCACTTCATCCCTTCCGCATATTTAGACCTTTGTATTCTTCTCAAGTCTTTTCCTTTTGTCACATCATAACACCTTTTCCTTATCATATTACGTATATTCATTCCCTTATTTTTCCTTTCCATCAATTACTCATTTTTATTTCATGCAAAACTTTTCTTTATTCCTCATCTAGGTATTTCTCATCCCAAAGTCACTCTTTTTCTATACCTCTCTTCTTATGTTTTTCTTCCTTCCTGCAAACACTCCAATTTTTCCGTTTAATTGTTCTTCTTCTAGTTTCTTCCACCATTTTTTCACATTTTCTTTCTCTTCTTAGCATATAGTCTGGCGTGTTTCTTTTCAATTTGGACAACCATTTAAGCACTTTTTATAAATATTCTCAATTTTATTATATATTTTCCAACTTTAAATTTCTACCCAATAGAAGATAACGCTTTTCCAATCGTTTCTGCATAACATTTTTCCCAATTATCCATTTTTTTCCCATTATTGCATTTGCCTTTCCAATTTCAAGAACCACTTTAAGCACTTTTTATGAATATTCTCAACTTCATTATATATTCGCCAACCTTAGATTTCCACCCAGTAGAAGAGAATGCTTTTCCAATTGTTTCTGCATAATTTTTTTTCCAATTCTCTATATTTTTCCCATTATTACATTTGCCTTTCCAATTTGAACAACCATTTTAAGTACTTTTTATAATATTTAGCAATTTTATTATATATTTTATTTAAATAAAATACAATTTGTTCAATAANGCACTTTTTATAAATATTCTCAATTTTATTATATATTTTACAACCTTAGATTTCCACCCCACAGAAAATAACGCTTTTCCAATAGTTTCTGCATAATTTTTGTCCAATTAACCATATTTTTCGCATTATTGCATTTGCCTTTGCTTATAGAATAAAACTAGGATAGGTATGTTTAGAAAATAAAGTAAATTTATTATAACCAGTAGATATTCGAACAAAATATGATCAGTTTGGCGTGGCAAGAGTCAAGCAATTCGTTTGAAATAGTAACACTGGTTTATTAATTATAAAATTCACCGATCTTGAAGAAGCGCCGCTAATGTTTTGTCAGATGCAAATATGACCAATAAAATTATACCTGTAGGTTTTAGCTTTTCCAAAGGGTTGCCCAAAGAAATGTGATTATGACACCATAACGCCTTATTATTCTTGGTCTTAATACCTAATACTTCAAGTGTGAATTTGACTTTGCGTTTTTGACAGTGTTAAGAACGAAATTGATTTTTTAGAACATTTTTACGATTTGGTTTTCCATCAAAATATCTGCACGAAAATGTACCTAATAAATATGATTTAGACGTCCTCTCAGTCTTTCTCCGAAAATAGCCGAAGAACAATCATAATAAGAAGTCGACATTTATTCAAATCAAAATCATTTGCACGTGTGGGCTTCGGGCTTTTATTGCTTCTTGGATTTCATGCGTGTGCATGCATTGCTATTGCGTAATCAAGAGAGTTATTTTCTGACGAGGAAAACAACTTTTGCAGGTGTGTGTGAAAGCAGCGACCGATGCTGTTAGAAAAGTAGTAGTGAAATGCATTAGGTCATTATCAGTATTTTCTGACTTAACGGACTTGGCTTTTTTACTGTTTAAAAGACAAGATAGCTATTCAAGGTGATCATTCATTATCATTCGAAAGGCACATTGATGCCCGCACTTACTCCTGTCTAATAATGTTACGTAGGTAGGTACTCGAAGAAACAAAAACGTTAATGTGGTTACGGAAACAAACATTACGCTCATTACTGTCATTCGTTGTATGCCCTTTCTCCTAATGCTATTTCAGTTTTATTTGAGTTTTTTTGTGAATATTATTATGAACGATGTGGGAAAGTTTTGTGATCTCAGCCAGTAAAGCATAATATACTTTTACAAGTCTTTATTGTAATTACAAGTCAACTAAGTGTAATATTTATATGAATAAATATCAAATAGTAACTGCTAGATAAGTCAGGACGAAAGGAGTAGTAAGGATAGAGGAAAGCGTAGGGTCGAGTCGCCTTCAATAAAAAGAAGTAACTTCTATGCCCACCAAAGGTTAATCTAGAAATTCGAAAGATTCTTAAAGGTATTTGGAGTGTGGCGCTGTACAGATGCGTAACATGGACAGTGGGCGCGGCGAAAAAAAAAAAAGATAGAAGCGTTCAAAATGTGGTGTTACAAGTGAATGATGAGGATACCGTGGATAGAGAAGGTTAGAAATGGAGAGGCATTAGAAAGAATAGAAGAACAGAGGACTCTATGGAAGTCAATAAGAAATAGGCGAGATAGGTTGGTAGGACACCTTCTCATGCATGAAGGTCTAGTCAGGGACATGTTAGAGGCAGAAACGGGAGTTAGGAGGGGTAGAGATAGATCTAGCTTAGATTACTGTTCGCAAATAGTTAAGGATGTGGGATGTTCTAGTTTTGAGGAAATGCGAAAATAAACTCAGGAAGGGAAGGAGTGGAGGTGCGTGTCCAACCAGTCTTAGCACTGACGATTGCTAGATTGCAGGACCGACTGGTGCAGCAAAGCATTATCATCATAAGGTCGTCAGTCCTAAGACTGGTTGAACACGCACCTCCACTCTTTCCTATCCTGAGCGAATATTTGCATTTTCCTAAACCTAGAACAACCCACATCCTTAACTATTTGCGAACAGTAATCTAATCTAGGTCTACCTCTACCCCTCCTAACTCCCGTTTCTGTCACTAATATGTCTCTGATTAGACCTTCATGCCTTAGAAAGTGTCCTACTAACCTATCTCGCCTATTTTTTATTGTCTTCCATAGAGTTCTCTGTTTTCCTATTCTTTCTAATACCTCTTTATTTCTAATCTTCTCTATGTACGGTATCCTCATCATTCGCCTGTAACACCACATTTCGAACGCTTCTAACCTCTTTTTTGCCGCCGCGCACACTGTTCATGTTTCGCACCCGCATCTATATCAAACTTTTTTTCTACTTCTTTACACATCCTATCAATCCACTGTTCCTTAGCTGCCTTACACCTCCTAATTATTTCCCACTTTATAGCCTCATATCTTTTTTTGCCTTTCTTCGTCTGTCCTGTTTTTGTATTTCCGCCTTTCTTCTATTAATCCTACAATCTCATTTGTTATCCAGGGTTTCCCACTTTCGTGTATCTACACTACATTCAGCACTGATTTGCTATTGAAGAGTTAACAGTGTTCAATATTATCAACTTTATGTTGTTAACCTTGTTAAAATTAGAAAAGCCCGACTAGGTGTGAATTAAATGCCTGACGATCTCTATTCTTGTTTGCGCCATTTCGTCTCGTTTCGTTTGTTTTAAACAAAAAGACGGCAATCGCACATCGGATCAGTTCCCGTAATCATTAACTTGCTAACGTACACATAATACACGAGTTTCCATTCATACAAACAGGTAGTCAATGAAATAATTGATGTCATGAAGTGATGTACGGCAAGTGGTTCTGGCGGATACCGCTACATGCATCCGGTGGAACGGTTGTGCCGTTGATGGACGAGTAATTCCCTATTCAAATAATGACGATTCATTATGGATTTACGCGTTTACATACCTAAAGAAATCGTTGTCAAAACACTACTATTGCATTATGCACTTTGCCTACATATCAACGGAGTCTTCAGCATGCAATAATAACGTACTAGCTAAGGCATCAGCACGTTTACCTATCTTGATTAAAGGTAGAATTGTAATGGTCCTAACAGGTGAATGTTTCGATAGTAAAATTATTAAAAGATTTCGTTTACGTCATCGATATAGTCTATACAAACCAATCTAAAAAGTAATAGCAATAGCAACAGCACACTGAACCTACTAGTAATACCAGCTAACACGACTGTTCGGTCGTAATGTATTTATACTAGTAAGACCAAGACCGAAAGAACAAGACCAAGACAAAAAACAAGACCGAATATGAAAGACCAAAACTAAAGGCCTCCTCGGACACTCAAAAATAGAGTGTATAAACTCTTAAACTTCACGAATTAAGCTGCAATAGTTTTCTAAACTAATCAAAACTAATTCGTAATTAATTTCCGGAAAGGAGTTTAACAATTTTGACAAAATTGAAAAACCAGGGGCGTGTTGGGACTCATCATGGCCCTATATTTGAAATAGTGACTATACCACTTATGGCTCCAGAGCTATGATACTTAGAATTTAGTCATCTTTTAATGACACCTTATTTGAATATATTTCAGGTAAAAGTTTTGATTTTTTCAACCCTTTAGAATCCGATTTTCTGAAAACCCATTCTTTTATGCTGTCACAATTTTAATTGAAATCGATCCAATTATTTCGGTTGTATATTGAACATCAATCAGTTAGTTAGCCAGGAGTCAGGACAAGTTCCTTATATATATATATATGTAGACATTGCTACCATTGTAATTTGGTATTTCGGTATTCCAAAGGAGCTAAGTAATGAGCAACTACAATTTCTTCAAGAAATATTACAGTATCGACTTACTGGAACTATGCATATGCTTTTGAATGTTTAAAATGTTTATATCGGTAATAAAAAGTCATAAGATTATTTTCATTTTGTGATGTGGTTTCGTAAAAACGAATTCGTTTCAATCCAGTTAATTCCCTTACAATGAGCAGAATGGAAACATGAACTTCACAGTCAGTTAACGCTAGAAAACCTACCTACTTGTTTAATCTCTGAAAGCAATCTAAATTTTTATGGACTTTCTAACTCTATCGCTTTCCTGAGTGCCATAAACTGTAGCATGATACCACGCCATGCCATCACGTTTTATTTGTAAGAGTTGTCTGCCATTCCGAACGTGTGTGGCATCGTTAGTTCATGTTGATTGATATCTTTGTGGTGACTTTTTTTTTTACTATAGAAACTCATCGCGACGCCTTGGTCAGTTGTCGGGACTATTTTATTTTTCACCAGTGAAAGAATTAGCAGTTATATATGTATGGATGGTCGATAATAACGGCTGCCTGTAATAATAAAAAAAATTGAAAACAAGTAAATGAAATTCAAAAATTTTATTTGAAAGGTGATCAGTCTATAATTATGATTATCAATTAGAAAGTTAGAACATGATTTTAAAAGTTAATAAAGGTATATAAAGGTAGTTAAGGTATCTGATGTAAATAAAAAAAATATCAAACCAAAATGTGTTATCAGAACTTTGCGTATGGGAAGAGAATTCTTTAAAATGACCCCATCTTTCGGAAAATTCGTTTTTGTGTTCCTGCAACGTAAAAATAAAAGCCTGGTGCACATTAAAATTATTCCTTTTTTGAATTACAGAATTTTATTGAGAAATGGTTTGTATCTTAATAATATACACGGCAGCCAATATTTTTAAGGGTGGTTTGCCCGGGGCGGCCTTAACTGTAGAGACGGTCCAGCTCCTAAATATAACTACATAGTTAAATTCCAGTTAGAAAAAATTCGGGTTAAGGGCTAAAAAATATTTCTGCTTTATCAGTCAGGTTCATCAGTCCTAAGACTGGTTGGACACGAACCTCCACTTTTTCTTACATTGACGTAATATCCCACTTCTTTAACTATTTGTGAACAGTCATCTAATTTAGGTCGACCTCTACTTCTCTTAAATCCTGTTTCTGTTTCTTATATGTCTCTAACTAGTCCTTCATGCCTGACTAGTGTTGCCCAAATTCAGTCTTGGTCTTGCAGTCTTGGTCTTGTTCTTGCGTTTTTGCAAGACCAAGACCAAGAACAAGACCGCGTATTTTTAGCAAGACCAAGACCAAGACTGACCGTGCAAGACTTGAGCAAGAACAAGACATAGCCTGCAAGACTCTTGCGTCTTGCAGCTAGGACTTAGCGCTATTTCACTGAGTAGTTAGGTGTAACAGTTCGGTGTATAGGTAGGTACGCTTAGGAATTCTATGAGACGCAAAAAACTGTATCAAAGAATATGAAAAACTGGACCTATGCGCATTACGACTAATACCATAAACATAGCGAATAAAAAAATTATTAAAATCAAACTGAGTGCATGCATAGTTATGTTTTAACCATCGGCACTTTGATAATGCGGCATCAAAGGTTTTGTACTTACTTCTCAAAGAAATTTGCCGCTTTTCGGAAGTACATGGTTATGATACACGCGCCGGCGGCTTCTTTTGAAATCTAAAACAATCGTTGCCGCCACGCCGAAATCATAACATTTGACACTATTTGATTGCCGCCATAGGGTGTAGGTATACTCATGCAAAATAATTTCGAATTTTTTTACACGCTTTATATTATTGTTTGATTTGCGGCGGCATCCTTATCATAGAGCCGGCACGTGGCGAGGCGGCGCGGTAGAAAGCAAGGATCATAAATGTTTATTAAGAAACAGTTACTTCCATGGAAAACGACATATAGGTCAGTTGATTTTTCGAATTTCTTATCAAATCTTCAGTTATTTATTAATCTGCTTGATCTTTACTATGGCTATATTCATTCAAGCTCACAATGTTCCAATTCTAATACGTTTTTCTAGGATTTAAAGTAAACTTTAATAAATAGTAATAGACTAATAGGTAATTGCAAGACTTGCAAGACTCTTGCTGCAAGATCAAGACCAAGACCAAGACTGGGAGCGCAAGACCAAGACCAAGACCAAGACTGGGAGCGCAAGACCAAGACCAGGTGTATTGGCGCAAGACCAAGACCAAGACTGGCTAAGTCTCGTCTTGTTCTTGCGTTTGGGCAACACTATGCCTGACAAGATGTCCTACTAACCTATCTCGCCTATTTCTTATTGACTTCCATAGCGCCTTCTGTTCTCCTACTCTTTCTAACACCTCCTCATTTCTAACCTTCTCTATCCATGGTATCCTCATCAGTCGCCTGTAACACCACATTTCGAACTCTTCTTACCTCTTCTTTTCCGCCGCGCCCATCGTCCACGTTTGGCACTCGTACACAGTCATGTTACAAACATATGCATTTAAAAATCTTATTAAATCTAAATTAACCGTTTGTATTATAATCCTAAGTGTCGCAGTGACAATTTACGGCGTAGTTCCGCGTTAAACTTGAGAATTTAATTGTCACTGCGGTTCATTTTCCCAAAGAAAATTATTTGAAATTCTAATAAAAAAAAATTATGATAATCAGTAGCGTTCATTATCTATGTAATGAAAAATCGGTTTGTGTTATGCGGTTGGCCCTTTAAAAAAAAATAAAATTTTGGATATATTTAAGTAATAGGTTTACAACTTAAGGAAATATCAATCGAGAAAAAATATACTTTGTGTGTTCATCACCACTAATTACCTTCTTTTATTATATGGTAAATAACGATGAGCTTACGTACTTGTTACGCCAGGCAAATTGGCGAGAGACGGTACCGTTCACGGAAATTTCATCGGAAATGCGTAGTTTCGTTTCTAAATCCACAGAGTCGTTGTTACCGGAGCGGAAAATTCAATGCAATTCTTAGGTCGTCATGTAAACATTCCCTTGGCAGACCGGAACACGAAATTATACAGGTAACATACACCAATCTATCCATGGATAGGTAGCTACCATTGTACCTCCTACTTACTGTTGTGTACATCGCATCGTTAACTGATGCACTCGAAGATTAAAACATTGCGCACCTGCCATCCAAAGGGAATCTAAATACTCTACATAATAATGTAACAATGATTGCAAACATCGGTATGTTAATTTTTTGCGATGATTCGTTGCGGATTTGACAGACAATTTTAAAATTAACCTTCTTTTCTCATAAAAATAATGGTAGGAGCACTCTTTGTGGTTGTAACAGTGTAAAATTTTTGTAAAATGTATTCTAAATAAGATAAGAAAATAACCTTATTTAACCTAACCCCAACCTAACGTAATCTTAGGTATAGTAAAAAATTAGACTTCGCCAACGAGTCATTATTCGTATTACAAAGTATACCTACAAGCATATACATTATCGCTACTACTTTTTAATTTGTATATCGAAGATGCAATTAATATTGTTAAAGACAGAACAGGGACAAATGATTAGCATACTTAAATTTGCAAATGATAAAGCACTTTTAGTTCTAGAGTAATTACAGTTAGTTTTAGTTAAAATGAAAGCGGAATTGACAGAGGAATATGGTATAAAAATCAATAAAAGTAAATGAGTTATATGTATGAAAGTATGTGAGGGATGTTAGAGCCAAAGCAACTAGGAGAAGTTGTCAATTATCGATATAGAGACAGTCAGATAACTCACAATCAGGACTAAAAAAACCCTAGATCGCAGAGATATAGAGCAAAGGATAGTGCAAGAAAGGGTCGCTTTTAACAAAATGAATCACTTTTGGATTCGAGATTGGCTAATTTGGAAATTCAAAAACGGTATTAAGATTAAGGTAAGACACCTTCTCAGGCATGAAGGGCTAGTTAGAGATATATTAGAAGAAGAAACAAGAGTTAAGTTAAGCAAATAGTGAGAATGCAAAAATTGGCTCAATATAGAAAGAAGTTGTCCAACTAGTCTTCAGGTTGAAGACATTATGATGATGTGTAGTTAGAGAGTATGAGATTTTAACATCATCTAAGATCTGAACAAATTTTATAGTAAGTTGTTCAAATAATACAGTTGGTCACGTTTCTAGTAAGGTCAACGTCAAGTCCACGTTCATGGTCACAAATTGATTTCCCCCTCGAAAGCATACCTCTTGGGAGGTAACGAAAACCAATCAAGACATTTGAGGGTTTTTGCAATAATTTTTATCTACATTTATGACATAGTTAAAAGAAAAATAGAACGCTGTTCTTAGTGGGCTATTCGCCTGTTTCGGAACGTAACATTCCCCCGGCTCCCCCTTATTATGATCGGATTCTAATCTAACTAATTTTACAAATTCCGGATGAGTGTGAAATCTCTTCAGTTTATTAAGGTAGACATAGGCGCAGTAACAATTTTTTTTCCCAGAAGGGATCAAATTTTCAATTCTATTAACAATATATATGTAAATTATTGTAGATTTATCTTGTATTTGTACGAATAATTGATATTCTAGGGTGCTTAGGAGGATTCTAGGGTGAGCCTGAACCACCTGACCCTTCCCTTTGTTATGCCAATGATGGTAGAGTCTTTTTAAATGTACATTATTTTTTGTAAAATGCCCGAATTTAGTAATGAATTTCTCTTTGTACACTTAAATATTCTGATTATTTATTTTGTGAACGAAAACGTCGTTTACGCTGCACTTGTCCCTTGTGTAATGTAATATATTTGCCTTTAATACCAGTGAAGTATCTGAAGCAATCACAAATGCAATTCAATATTTACGCCATATGACCTTTCGTGCAAGGGAGGCTAAATTCTGTTTAGCCTGATCAAATATTAATCAGTTGTCATTCAAGCTAGGAAGCTCGGCGTGAAATGTTAGCTTACGTATTCGAAAAATTTCCGCGACCCTTCCGATGATAAATGTTCAATAAGATCGGTGATTGAAAACCAAACAGTTTCTTATTCATGGCACCTTGCATTATTTATTTAGAGGAATGGATTGACTTATACTTATATTCATAGATTAATCTTTGTCTGCGTGAAACTATTTGTAATTGTTTATAATAAATACAAGTGTCAAATTAGGAAAGAAAGTAAATGGTTTTGATATATTTTTCGAATCTGGCTCCAGGAAAGCCCGAACACATTGTGCACAATCTAAAATCCAAGAAATAAAGTAAGTATGAATGAATATGATATTGAGATTAATATATTTTGAAATCTTGGTTATATTATTTTGGAAATTGACTTTGGGGTTTCGAAATTGTGATGTATTTAGGCAATTTTGAGGTTATATCGCGCTCAGCGTCACAAACAACATTGAAAATGATACCTCTAGCCTTATTTTTTTGATCCATGTAGACAAGTGTTGTTTGATTTATCGAAATNAATATTAATCAGTTGTCATTCAAGCTAGGAAGCTCGGCGTGAAATGTTAGCTTACGTATCCGAAAAATTTCCGCGACCCTTCCGATGATAAATGTTCAATAAGATCGGTGATTGAAAACCAAACAGTTTCTTATTCATGGCACCTTGCATTATTTATTTAAAGGAATGGATTTAGTTATACTTATATTCATAGCATAATCTAACACTTGACTTTGCCTGCGTGAAACTATTTCTAGTTGTTTATAATAAATACAAGTGCCAAATTAGGAAAGAAAGTAAATATTTTCTAATCTGGCCACAGGAAAACTCGAATACATTGTGCAAACTGTAAAAACCAAGAAATCTAGTTAACATGAATCAGATATTGAGATTCATATATTTTGAAATCTTGATTGCATTGTTTTGGAAATTGACTTTGGGGTTTCGAAATTGTGATGTATTTAGGCAATTTTGAGGTTATATCGCGCTCAGCGTCACAAACAACATTGAAAATGATACCTCTAGCCTTATTTTTTTGATCCATGTAGACAAGTGTAATTAGATTTATCGAAATGTGTACATATTTTCAAATTAAATGACATCTTAGACAGAGGATGAGCAAGCGGAGTATGATGACATAGACACAGCAGCAATTACTGGTTCACAACAAGCGTCGTAATAAATCTGCAAGTCTATTAAATTAAATTGTAATAAATAGTTGCAGTTTATATTCTACTTATCTTTTTGTCAGTCGAAGCGACTATTAAGTACATACGTATTAACTAAGTAACAGAATTAGGTATCTATCACATGCTACAAATATGTATTATGATCTTAAACCAATGAGTTAGAATAAGATCCTGAATTATGAGGTATCTTTCAAACGATTGAAATTTAGTTACAAAAAAAGTTGTTTACTTTTTCCTACCACAAGTTGTAACTGATTATGAATGGATTTTAGAGTAACCACGAGTAACTGCAACCTTTTAGACTTGATCTGTCTATGTCTGACTGATCGCTGATTACTTCTAATCCCGTATCACAAAGTTAGAATTTTGTCAACTCTCGTTGTGGAAGAGGGGTGAACAGGAGGATGTTAAAATTAATTGTAACCTATACCAATTTGAAGAGTGGGATGTTGGTGGCCTTCAAATGTCGAAAGAGTTAAAAATCCCTCGACGTGAGGTCCGGACCATTCGAAAGGTAGTCGGCAAAGTCCCATTTGAATTTTTTTAACCACAAACCGCTTCCTCGGGTCCTTTCAATTGCATATTTGAATATATCGACTTTACCTAGCTAAAATTGCATTACGACAAAACGCAAATGCTTTTTGATGCCTTAAGTGCCTACTTCCATGTAGGTATGAGTGAAAATAGGTATCACATGTTACATGAACTACACATACGATATATTGGGACAGTCCCATGCGTCGTGTCCGTGTAATAAAATTTTATTTTTGGTAATGAGTGTGTAGTAGGAAAAAGCAAAACGCAAAAAATGTCCGGCCAGGTGTGACAGCTGTGCAGCGGTTATTTCTAGGGCTCCGTTGACAAACATTGAGGCACATGGCGAGAGTTTGTCAGGCGCACATGGCGGCGCACGTGTGAGCGCCGCGACGCCGTCGACGGCCGTCGCTGCCGCCACATATCACCGCCACTGTACCGCGTACTGGGCCCCAAAATACGCCCCACAGACGACGCGGCTATAACTTGTATCAGCGACCGCATAGCGCCCGCCCGGGAAGGCTATTATGACCCTTTCGATCCAGGGTCGGACCAGCTAACAGTCTCTACAAAAATTGTACTAAATTAGGCATAAATTTTGTCTTAGACATTTTAAAAAATGACTTGGCAAATTATAAATGGTGCTTGGACATATTCCAAAATGCCTATAGGTACTTACAACAATTCATAGACTTTCCATTATTTTAGAAATTTAGTTAAATAAAACTATTTTGGGTATATGCCCAGGTGATGGGTTTGTCAACTGGAGGAGGTAGAACGGGTAGGGATGACCTTATAAGGCACTATCATCATCATCATAAGGTCGTCAATCCTAAGACTGGTTGAACTCGCACCTCCACTGTTTCCTATCCTGAGCTAATCTTCGCATTTCCTTAAACTAGAACAACCCATATCCTTAACTATTTGCGAACAGTAATCTAATCTAGGTCTACCTCTACCCCTCCTAGCTTCCGTTTCTGCCTCTAATATGACTAGACCTTCATGCCTTCCTACTAACCCATCTCGCCTATTTCTTATTGACTTCCACTAAACATGCATAAAATTTTGGTCCAACGAACGACATGACCTAGAGATTCAGACCATTGCTTAGCATTCTGTGGTGTCCATGGATCACTTGAACAAATATTAGGGTAGTAATATTCCACAGATAATTATTCACTTTCTTCTGTCTTCATTCACAATTCCTAAAAGGTAGTTCAAGTGGATCTTCCGTCGTACTCTCCAACATGTTCTGGATATACTGCCCGGCCACCAGCATTAGCAGCTGGTTCAAATGAAACACCCAAAGGTTTTTTATATCTGCCCCGGGGAGGTAATTACTATTTTCGTTTCAAAACAATTAAGCAAGCCAGTAGTGTTAAATTATTTCCAATTTGCCAATACAAATTGACGGTGAATTGATGCTGTTCTGATTCGAGTGGAAGACAAAAGGATCTCTGAAGAAACTCGCCACTCGTTCTAGTGAAACGTTAGGAAGCAACTCTAACACATGACGGTCCTTGGGCCCCGAATCAGAGCAGTATCAGTTCACCTCCTGGACATGAAAGTCTTTACCAAATTAACCGTTTAAATTGCTACGAGTCGATCTTTTTTTGGGGTTAGGTTGGGTTAAGAGTGTGGTGTAAATATAGAAATATAACAGTGATGTGTCGCTGTTTTATGATTTGAAATTAAATTAAAGCAATTTTATCAACGTATAATTAAGAAAGGGGTTTTTTTTGTTAATTAAGTAGCAAGAACTACCAATCAAATTAATATTTGGAAAGTTATTATGAATAAGAATTGGTTGAAATATTCGGAAATCCGTCTCTGTTTTTTCTGAACCGCATGGACAACAGTTGTTACCGGCATCATTGAGAACAGTTATCTCGACGAAAATATTTCCTATATTTTTGAGATGTTGTGACTATTTTTCTTGTATTTTCACAACATGTTCAGAAGGCCATTATGAGCGGTGATGTGTTGTTGGCTGGCGCTGTTTGTAATTGCGGGTGTTATAAATATTACTTAGGTGCAGCGAAAGAAACTTCTGCTCTAAATAACTTTCTAAGAAATAGTTCTCGTTTACGTATTAGACAAAAAAAAATGAATAGGATGTCTTTGTCCTGTGACAACGACTTTTCATTTCTTCTTTTTTATTAAGTACTCACCAGAAAGACTACGACAGTCTGTTAGGTTTTGTTGCTTAATGAGCTAAAGGCCTGACCGTCTCAATGGCAAATGAAAGAAATTATACACACAGTTAGGAAAAAATGCACATAATAGGTTTGGAGTATTTTTATTAAAATTTTAACAAAATTCTCACTTATCCTACCAGGTAAATACGATATATTATTTTTAATACCAGACATGGAAAAAGCGTCCAACTCTACGTGGAGATCTTTTTTAAATGCCCTTTAGAGATTTTTTTAGAACAAAATAAATACTAAATAATATTGAATACTCGGCAAGTAATACGTTTTAATGGAAAATAATTTGGTAATAAGTGTTAAGGACACTTATTTGATATGTTGGGTCGTCTTGCAAATAACTTTTAATCAAGTTATCCTTCAGCGAAACTCATTATTTCCTGATTATTCGACATTATTTGGTATTTTGTCCCTGAAGTAATCTCTAGAGGTAATAAAAAAAGAAAGAGTCTCAAGTTGATGCCTCCTTGAATGTAAAATTTTGCGCTTTTTCTGAATCCAGGATCAGAAATTAGAATTTTTAAATTAAAAAATCCATTAGACTTGCAAATGACCTTAAACGTTACGATCAAGGTCACATTGTATGTAACTATCAGATGTTTTTGATTGATAACTATGACGAGATGTGTATTTTGATCTTGTAAATGACTGAAGGTCCTTTAGCCTTTCCGGGTATACGTCACTTCTACCCGATTTTTGCAAATTTTTATATAAGTGTGGTGTATGAATTTCTAAGTGTTCTCATTTTGTAGCTCATCTTTATTTAAATGTGTATTACAGTATTTTTGTTAAGTAATTATTAATTTACCATATTGTTATTAAATTAGGCGAGGATTGAATCCTTTTTTTAATTATGTGAATTAATATCATTTGCTTGATAAAGATTCATTTAGATTTCCCCAAAACACTCCATTAGTTATTTTCCAATTTTTTTAATTCAACTACCCTTATTTATACCTATTTTTTAGCATTGTTCCATATATTTTATTAATTTATATTATAATTTTTTACGATCTTCATGTGAATTTTTCAGCATATTAAGGATATTTCTAAAGAATCCTTTTTTAGTTGGCGTGTTATCCTCTTCAATCAAGTTCTTGTAACGTTCAATTATAGTTGGCTCATTATGATACCATTTATGGTAGGAATTGTTACAAACGAATTGTTCATAATTCGTCTGATTCATTCGGGCCAAAGTTTTTAGAAATTTCTTCTCGCATTTCGTTTGCTTAGTAAAATTATCGGCATCTAGCGTTTGATTTCTGTACATAAATCGCCAGATATAAGTCAACAGGACATTCAAAGGAAGTAAAATGTACCAGACCATCAAATTCAATCCGAGACAGAAAGGTTTGTGATGTTTAGAAAATCCAAATGTTACATACAACAAAGTGTTATCAAACAAGTTCGAAAACGTAGTTAATACCAATGTTAAATACATTTCTTTAAAAAAAATTTGAACAATGTTATGTTCACACATCCACCAGCCGAGTTGTTGCGCTAAAATACTCAATAATTCGTCATCTGTCAGCTTGAAAATGGCCCTTTCGTGTATATAAACTTGTTCGTATCCTAAAAATCCTGAAATACGTGCAATTGTACTCCATTCCTTTCTACTGTAAATAATGTGCAAATCGTTAGTAGGAAAATTAACTTTGCTGGCCAAATAACCAAAACCCTGCTTCAATTTTGGATCTGTTAAGAGAGTCTTTTTGAGAAATAGAATGTCATATGCGGTATCCATAAGGAGTAATATTAAACAGCCCATAATCCAGAGGACGAACAAAAAATATTGATCAGTTGATGATACGACAAGAAAAGTAGTAATATATATCAATCCGTGGAGTGTTTGATAATTGAGTAGATCTTCTATGTAAGTTTTCGTAAAATTGAAAAAAAATTGTTGTCCTGGCTGATCATGTTTTTCCTTTAGGTAAACCGTGTCAAATAAGGTTAAAGGATAATTTATGAAGGCAGTTCCAACGTTCACTATCAATAACCAAAGTAGACTTAAAAAGAGGTCTCCTCCAACAGGCACATAGTCATCAAGAAAGTACCACAACTTTGCGTAAAACCCATTTCTGATAATGACCGTTGTTATTAAAGCGTTCCCTATTATTTTGGGAAACGTTATCTGCAACTTATCTTTGTGATAATGTCTTCCTTTTTCAAACTTATCTGATGAGAGACATCGTATTATAAATTCTGAAATATCTATATCCTTGTGAAACACGACAAGATAGTACTAAAACATAGTAAAATATTTTAAATGTTAATCAGTTTACAGTATAAAATATTGCTGTAGGTACTTGTCTTAAATTTAAGTAGCATTCCCATATGCAAATGCCCCAAACGATTCCAAGAACGTAAGATTGTAAATACATTACGGAATTTTGACATTTAAACGTCACATAGTCACCTTATTACCTACTGTTTATGTGACATCATCAGTCCTACATCATTATTTTCCCAAAACGCATCATTCCATTCCGGGTAAAAATTGTACCTTCTCCTTATTAGAAAAGGATTTTACTATCATTTTAGTTTTCACCCTTATCATTTTCATTTTTCATTTCCCTGGTGTGAACCTAAGAATGTTTGGAACAGTCTTGACATTTTGCTGAGTGAACTTCAGAGATTGTGTGATATTTTTGATAAACCAATAATTTGAGGAAGAATGACAAAGTGGAAATTCCTCAACCAATACCGAAGGAACAGTCGTAAAACCCCTGGGAAACCTTCCTCTTATTATTAGTATATTTACTGAAATAACATTATTGTAGATCCTGTACTGTTTGATTTGATTCATATAATAAAAAATTTAGTGAATTGTAGTCCTTGCTGTATGAACCTAAAGCGAAATTTAATGCATTTTCGTGTTATTCTAATAAGAATCAAAAGATTGAAATCGCATCAATCTATCTGTTTGGACAAACTTTTCAACTGTTTGAATTGCTTATCTATGATTTAGGCATTTAGGTATATTTGTACACTCAGTTTTATTTCACGCAGTTGAGGAAAACTGTCCCATTATTATTGTGTGCTCAGTTTCATTTAAAATGAGCTTTACCATACACTTCGTTCATCTTCAAACTCTGTAGTGCCTCGGCCCCCGGCGGGGGTGTGACAACAGTAACAATTTTTCCCTCATTAATTTGAGGTAGCGTGTAGTGGTTAAAAAAATTCAAAAAAAATAATTTTCAGATTAATATTTCATATCAAATTTTAGTTATTTATATTCCCGACTAAATCCCTTTCGTAAGGGTTACCATTGTAATTAATACTCATATTAGGTGTTTTTATTTTACAATTTTTAACAAAGTTCACTGTCATCAAGGAGCTTCGTGAAAATGAAGAAAAAATGCATTATTTACTAGTGTTTTATATTTTTGATATATGCATACTATAAAGTAGGTAGGCATTATACATAATTATTGTTGACGATAGCTTTTTATTTTAGTAAAAATGTGTTCTTTTTTTTTCTGGTGTCCTTGTAAACACTTGTCTCGGAAACGGTGACCAAATGTTACTTTTATTGTTGTATTGTTGCGCAGATTGCGCTTTGTATGTTTTCCACGACCTTCCGTGAACACCCGAGAACACACAAAGCCAACTTTGATATTGTACAGAAATGAGCATTTTGGTGAATTGAGCCATGTGCCAGCATTACCAAGGAGCAGTCTTCTTTTACAACGGGGCAATATGGTAGACAGATTGTGGGAATTGAAAATAACTCAGGCTAAAATAGGCCGGAATCATCGCCATCGGTATAGTATCGGTAACAACATACTGCGTACAGATTTTCAGATGCAACGTTTGGGGATGTTTTATGTCGACAGTAACAACGTAGTTTCTGCATGTGAGAATCGAATTTTACAGAACACACTCCGAATATCAATAGACCAAGACGTTGTGCCAAATGTTTTCTGCTTTCGGCTTCGTGATTAACATACGAGTAACCTGCAACGGATCACATAATCCCCCTATAAACCAAACGTCGAACCGACAAAAGATCTTTAAATACTTAAATGAAAAGTTTAATCTCTACAAGACTTTTGATCGTCGAATTTGTAGCAAATTCAAGCCGATACGGAAGGTATTAAAATGAAGCAAACTGTCTGCCTCTTCTCAATATGTATTCAGCTTTCTATGCAATCGGTAGACGGTATAATGCCACAACGAGGTAAAACATAGTTTATTATATCGCCGGAAACTGTCTGCCGATAATTGAGCGCCGGATTCGTTTCCTTTTTACTTTCGTTATTTATTTCTATGCGAGATTCACAACAATAAAAATTCGAAATCCATAAATATAAAAGTATAGGTATATTCTAAGCTTCCAAAGGAAGACGGTGTTGTTTTCGTCTGGTCTATGTCGTGGTATATGAAAAATTTGGTTATGGCGGTCGCAACGTCTCCGTTTAGACGCCATCTTAAAAAAGGGTGTAATTTGTTTTTTTTTTTTTTTCCACCCTAATAAAAAGGAAGCGATATTGACAAAACAATATTATATAAATATAAATAAAAGTTAAACAAAAATGCTAGCACATAAGGGAAGGAAAAGTAGGGAAAGGGCGAATTTAAAGATAATTAACGAAAAATTAGAGGAAGTGGCGGATTTTCGGTATATAAGGAGTCAAATAACTCAGTATGGAAGAAGCAGTAGAGATATAAAACAGATAGCGCAGGGTAGAGTCGTTTTCAATAAAAAGAAGTCACTTCTGTGCTCGCGAACGATTAATTTAGAAATTCGAAAAGATTGTTAAAGGTGTATGTTTAAAGCGCGGCGCTTTACGGGTGCGAAACGTGGACGGTGGGCGCGGCAGAAAAGAAAAGGTTAGAAGCGTTCGAAATGTGGGGTTACCGGCGAATGATGAGGATACCGTGGATAGAGAAGGTTATAAATGAAAAGGTGTTAGAAGGAATAGGAGAACAAGGGACTCTAACAAACTTAATTAGAAATAGGCGAGATAAGTTGGTAGGATACCTTCTTAGGCATGAAGGGCTACTTAGAGACAAATTAGAACCAAAAACAGGAGTTAAGAGGAGTAGAGGGAGAGAGTAGACCTAGATTAGATTACTGTTCACAAATAGTTAAGGATGTGGGATGTTCTAATTTTAAGGAAATGCGAAGATTAGCAAAAAGTGAAATGTGTCCAACCGAATGATGATAAAAAAATAATTTATTTCACCTGTGAAACGAAGGAAATTGTCGTTAATATTTAATATATTTCCCACTGTGATTAAACAACTTTGAACCGGCAGAGGCTGCTAATCTCACATATGTATAAGTGAGTACAGAATACCAAGTCACCACGCAATTCAATATCTGGGGCAAACTGATAATGATAAAATCATTGTCGCCACCGTGTACTCATACATAAATTCATACATATTTATTTATACGCAACTACTACTACTACTACCACCATTACATACAAACAAATGTATGATAGATACATGCAGAACGGTAAGTACCGTTTCACACGCCCGGTTGACAGCTAGGTGCAAGTGTACTCGAATGTACTTACGATAGTCGTACATATAACAATCGTGTCCGCCTATTTAGCTGATTAGTTGGTGAGAACTTTGACGGAGACCATTGAACCACACACGAGGAAGTGGTGAAATGATATCGTGGAAAAGGCCAAAGTAATCTTCACGTTCCGTTAGGTTCCGCTTTCGCTTCCGTAAAATGCTTCGTGTTATAAAGTACTATTTAAGCGGTTTTGTTATGCGGGTAATGCACCGTTCGATTTTCTGGGCTTTTTCTTTATTTTTGCACGAACCAGGTCTGTGAGCCGCAGGATGCAGGCGATACGTCGATACTTTAAATGTACTACCTCTTCTAAAAATTATCTCGTCAATTTGCAGGACTGATTGGCGGCATAATAATAATAATAAATTATCTGTGGGAATTGACGTATCTTCTTTCTTGTTTCCACTTGGAACTGTAGTCATTTGCTGCGTTTTGGACATGCCGTGGTTAAGTTAGGAAATGCTTCGTGAGTACTGCAGACAAAGTGAAAAGAGATAACCGAAAAATAGTAAACGGTGCAGCGATTAGAGGTTGCTTAGGTACGCAAAAGATCAGAGTCAACTTTATAACTGCCTGGTTGGAACCACATCTTTAAACAAGCGTCTTTCCTTAACAAATTCCTGAGAATGTTGAACTTTCGATGCTGACAATTTCTGCCTGTCTGCATGTCTTTATGTTACACATCAATTGGTGTAATGTTATTCCTTATTCTTTATGTGACCGCTGCAATTCCTACCTGACATCTCTCTTCTATGTTTACGATATTCCTTATAACGTCTGTTGTGAGTAAAGTAGCAACCGCTTTGGTCTAGTTAGCAAATTAAAAGAAGAAAGTAAATGCGACATTTTTATTGCAGACTGTGCCAATGTTGAATGTCCCAACTACATCTAATAATTTAATTAAGCAATTTTTCAATCTTCTACAGACTAACTCAAACTCAAACAAACCATGGCTCGGGGGCCTGATGAAAAGCTCATCATTTACGTCACCTTTAGACTGGAGCTGTGGTTCTAAAAGTATGTCGTGATAGTATTTCGTCAGAGATTCATCCTAAAGTATTAGCAATTTTCCAATTATCTTCTCATTGTTCTATCAAAATGAATCGATAATCAGTTATTTGGTCATTTTACCAAAGTGAAATGTCCAAATGTTCTAGGGGTATCTTAGTAGGGTCTAAAGTTTTCTGAGTGCAATATTGAGCAAACAATATAATAGCGTTTTTATAAAAGGTATTATTTTTATCTTTAAAGTATAGGAAATCTAAATGCTACACCCCGAGCAAAGCTATTCAGCGTCTATTATCATCAAAATATGTATACTTTTGTATGATGGAAATCATTATTTAAGTATGTTTAAAAGTGTATACTTATAAAACTTTATGTTTAAATAGTAATTAAGTACCTTTAATTGCTTACCTGTTCGTTCTTCATCAATTACACTTATTACAAAATTATCGATTAATAAACAAGTAATCATTTTTTATTTTATATTGCAATGACGTCGGTGTGTTCATTAAACAGTAATTGGAAAATTAACCCAATCAATTTCAGGTTGATCCGAAGTTGACTGGTTAATCAATAGCTGTAGTATGCCGTCAATGAAGTAGGCACTTATAAATAATAATCACCCTCCTCTATATTAATCGAAAATATATAAAATTATGGCTGTAAAGATATGCTATCAAATCGTTATCAACTCCTGATGCCGGTTTTCTGATTTTAGTGATGCTATTGAATCATTTCGGTGAAAAATTTTAGGAAAAATTGAAGGATCAAAGGCAGTTTCTCGCGGATCTTTTGATTTTCTGTCTTCTTGAAAATGCAAACTACATATTCTTAATAGTTTCGGTGGTTATCAGCGTTTACCTATCCATCATCATAAGGTCGTTAATCCTAAGACTGATTGGACACGCACTTCCTGAGCTAATCTTCGCATTTCCCTAAATTAGAACAACCCACATCCTTAACTATTTGCGAACAGTAATCTAATTTAGGGCTATCTCTACCCCTTCTAACTCCCGTTTCTGCCTCTAATATGTCTCTGACTAGACCTTCATGTCTGAGAAGGTGTGCTACTAACTTATCTCGCCTGGTTCTTATTGATTTTCGTTGAGTCCTCCTATTCTTTCTAATACCTTTTCATTTCTAACCTTCTCTATCCACGGTATCCTCATCATTCCAGTCCATGTTTCGCACCCGTAAAGCGCAGCGCTCCCGTACATACACCTTTAACAGCTTTTGTTTATTGAAGGCGACACGACCTTGCGCTATCTTCTGATTTATATCCTTACTACTCCTTCCGTCCTGACTTATCTGACTTCCCAGATATCTAAAATCAGCCACTTCTTCTAATTTTTCGTCTCCTATTTTTATATTCGCTCTTTCCCTACTTTTTCCTACCCATTAAAATAAAAAACCCTGCTTGGGCACACTATTATATCCATTCCTTTCCCCGTTTCTCTATTTCATTCATCCCTGATAGACAGTTGAAAAATGAACAATAAAAATCAGCATTGGATTAAAATTTGCGAATTTTGAAGTGTTGTATTATTTTGTGTACTATCTGTAGTTCCCTGATGTCTATAATATCATCAAATGACCACTAGGTATATCAAATTATAATGTAGCAAGAAAAGCTGAGAGTTTGAAACGTAAAATAAAAGTTGGTACCCAGCGTGGGCATCTCTCGATTAAAATAATTTTTAGATTGTTATTTCGGTGCTAAGTTTATAAGTTGTTTTTCGTAACAGGTGTAAACAATTTACTATTTTCGTACCTTGGATAACTGTGTCTTGTACATCGGGAAATGATAAATGTAGAAAAGTAATAAATTTATGTCGAAACATTCAGAAAAACCACATAAAAATTGGTTCCAGCTGTGCGTGCGTTAACACTAAGAGTTAAAAATACATAAATTTTTCGAAATCTCCCACCTGAGCTATAATGTTCTCCACAAAATGTGTTAAGGCGATAAAAATAGGTAGCTTAATAGGCAATAAAATACTTTTATTTCAGCGTGCTCTTGAAGGTATTTTACTGTTTTTAAATTACTTACAATCGTTAGGCCATTTATCTCAGAGTGAATCAAAGATTCTATGAAATTTCTTTCGTACCAAATTTGGTGAATTTTAGGTCAAGAGTAAACAAGAACATGTAATAATATTTAATTATTCTATTAATTTAGAGGTTTAAGTACAAGTCGTTATCATTATATATATATTGTAAAATTTTAAGTAATTTATTATCAAAAATACGCTGGAACCACTAAATACTCCAGTGGATCAAATGGTAACTTCAACTTCGCCACTCCCAAAGCTTCTTCTAATTATGATCATGGTCTCTTACCAAATTTGAGCAAAATATCTTTTAATGGCGAAACGTGTGTTAGAGGTATCTCAAAATCTCATGGACCACGAAATGCGCCAGGGTCGGACATTTATAACATTTATATTGAAGAAACTGACGAACAATGTTTTTGTTTTTAAAAGGTGCAAATGTAGAAATCAATGATCGGGCAGAGTTTTGTCACTGCTCAACCCAAAATTATGGCCCATGACATTCTAAATTACCTCTAATAATTTTTCTTACCTTTTCGTTATTATATTTTGAATTTGGATTTATGTGCTTTTTTACAGACGACATTTAAACTTTACTAACATAACTTTCAAATTTAGACATTTTTCATTTAATTTTATTCCCAACAATAATATTCGTCACGGTTCCGTTACCGAGTCGAACTTATGTAGCGTTTGTTGTTACGAAATTAAGTTGAAATGTTAGCGATAGTGATATATGTCCCTATACGTACCATGGTGATATCAAAAAGATTACTTACATGTTACGTTGTTGGGTCCAGTCGCAGGTGAGGTTTTGTGGTACCGCAGTGTCGTGAGATCTATGAAAATTTACCTTTCTTGTACACTGGACTGCAAGAAAAGGTTAATAAAGTTCGCGTGTAACAGTGTAATACTGATTCGGAATGAAATTCAAAATGCACCAGCGATTTCCATTTCGTATAACGTACAAGTAAACAAACATTAACTGTTTGGATCCGATACGTTATTGATTTCTCAGTAGATATTATTGATTGAATTAGTGATTTTGGTTAATAAACAATGTTTATCAATTTATTGCTTTATTTACCCTTTACAATTTGTGGCTTTTTATATCATTAAAAGGAAGTAATATTATCACTCATAATAAAGATAATGAAGATTAATCAAGTCGTCAAGTTATGTAGGTACATATTTGCTAACATTCACTAGAGTATGATCAAAATCGTCATGAAAAGAATAAATAAGGGACATTCACTGATCAGCTTGGTGGTTGTTGATATATACCAGTTAAGATACGCTGTGCTTCGGTTATTAACTTTAAAATACTTACCAAGATAGGTAACAAAATGACGATAACAAAATACGATATTTTTATTTTACCTAGAATGTGGTTATTGTATCGATAAGATTATGAATGGTCTTGTCTTACTAAAGAAATTATGACCCTATATTAGGTGTGTTATGAAAATTATTGTAGAAAAATGATGTAATGATGATATTGCGCTTTCACAAAATTGAAACTAATGTTGAATTCTTTGAACAGAAAATTTGTACAGAGGACCAATGATATGTGAAATCAACTTAATTTCTTCCCACTACAGATTACCTCAAGTTAATGAAGAAAATTTTGTTGCTGTTGTCACAAATTCGTCGGGAATTGAACCCGAGCTTCTGGATTTACACAGCAGTACTCTTACCACTAAGGTACAAGAGAAAATAGCAATAAAAACGACGAAAACAGATTTGGATTTATATAAGTATTAATATTAATACATATAGAATATAAACATTCGTTTCAACAACTCTGTAAATACGTATCTACGGGGTTCGATTTCCGGCGAGGGTGTGAGAGCGGCAACAAATTTTTTTCCATGAACTTGAAGTAATCTGGAGTGGGAACAACTTAAGTCGATTTTACATAAATGTTTCATAATTATTAAAATAATTATTTTACTATTGTTTACCAGGATAACAAATTGTATGGAGTGTTCGGAAGTACAGCCTTATAGGTAAAAAAAACGGAGTTAACCATTCATACACCACCGGTGATCGGTCGGGGATTTAATTTCTAATCGGCTACGTACGTATTGAAACAAAGCCACCGGCACCGGCTTGATAAGCAGACCGATGACCGTCTGTTGGTCGTCGAAATTTTATTGTGACCGGCAACCGATCGATAGAATACCCGGACCGGTAGGTGTGTTAAATAATAATTTCTTCGGGTTTTTTTGCCGCTCGGCGAATTAGCTGTCCGTGTGCTAGGGTCCTTAAATTTATCCTTATTTTTGTAACATTATTATCTGATTCAATTTTCTTCAGATTCCTTTACTGGGGGCAGAGAATAGGGGACTTTTAGAAACATGTACCTATTTTGCAATTTCTTTATCGTTACTGACACTGTTTGCGAGTGCATTTCAGTCGCGGCGCCGTCATCACCAGTGCACAAAAGAAATGTTTGTGAAATAGTGCTAGTTTCGAAAACAATGCTCGTGCCAAACGTGACGTCCTAGTGCAGGTGGCCGAAGAGAAACTAGGTCGTTGTCGAAGCGCTAATAATTATTGCCGTTGTAGAAGAGATACTCCACTCACTCGCGCCTGTCATCGCTATCGCCCGTAAAATAGCAACAATGTACCTTACACCTTCTTCCGCAGTTTCTCTTTCTTTTTTAGTTTGCTTGCCAGTTTCTAAATTAAAAACTTGAGCCGTCCAAATATTTTCCTACAACGGTTTGAGACCATAAATCAAACTTTCAGTTCAAAAAACCAATCAAGTAGATAATGTATTAGATTCCATACTGCGCTGTCTGAAATCTAATAATACTGCTAATTTTCCAAAAACTGTAAAATTTATAGTGTTCCCGACAGTTTTCTTACAAAATTTGGGGCTATATCAATGAATCTCGGTTTTTTTCATAATACTAGTTGCTAGTAGTATATAATATGCGAAACATCGACAGTGGGCGCGGCGGAAAAGAAAAGGTTAGAAGCCTTCGAAATGTGGTGTTATAGGCGAATGATGAGGATAACATGGGTACAAAAGGTTAGAAATGAAGAGGTATTGGAAAGAATAGGAGAACAGAGGACTCTATGGAAGTCAATAAAAAATAGGCGAGATAGGTTGGTAGGACACCTTCTCAGGCATGAAGGTCTAGTCAGAGACATATTAGAGGCAGAAACAGGAGTTAGGAGGGGTAGAGGTAGACCTAGATTAGATTACTGTTCGCAAATAGTTAAGGATGTGGGTTGTTCTAGTTTTAGGGAAATGCGAAGTTTAGCTCAGGATAGGAAAGAGTGGAGGTACGTGTCCAACCAGTCTTAGGACTGACGACCTTATAATGATGATGATGATGAATACTAGTTGCTGTACTTCAAGAACTGAAGGAACAGTTTTTTTTTTAACTACATTTATGGAAATTTCTTTGAAGATGCTCTATGCTCTATGTAAAATTAAAAACTAAAATACATATTTTTAAATTTACAATAATAATGTACCTACTAATCATCCCTTTCGCTGTACATCGTTACTTAAACGAGTTGCACAATTTGACTTTCCATGAAACATGAAACATCTATTCCTAAATGTTACCATTTTACCTTGTTGTATACTTCAACTCCTATTAGCCTCGAAATTCTGAAGAATAGAAAGGTCGACTTGGATGCTTGTGCATGTAAGAATAATATAGTTAAGCAGGATGATTTTCTATAGTAAATTATTGGTTTCGTTTGCAAAAATCTACACATAATATTCCAATACTTATTCTGATGGCGTTTATTTATGAAACAATTACATATTCTGTATTCATTGAAGTAGGTGCACGTCATACATATATGATAATATGTTAATGAGTTAATGTTCTAGTGTTATGTAATATGTTTCTAATGGAAATAAGGGTAGCTGAAATAGCTGATGATAACATTTATAATTCAAACCATAACCTAACCGAAGCAATAGTACAAACTGCATATAGTTAGGACGTTCAAAATTGGCATAGTCCACAATAAAACTGTCGCATTTACTTTCTTCTTTCAACTTACTAGTTAGACTAGAGCGGTTGCTGATAGAACGCCTACTTTTACTTATGACAGACGTTACAAGGATTTTCGTAAACAGAAAAGAGATGTCAGATAGAAATTGCAGCGGACACTAATAAAAAAAAAGGAATAACATTACACCAGATAATTTATTGCAGACTTTGCCAATTTTAATCGTTCCAACTATATGTATTACAACTCAAAATAGTGGCGATAAAGTAGAACATTTTTTGAAAAGATATATCATGAAAACTTTTACGAATCATTTTCTAAAAACATATTGCAATCATTTTATTTCTAGAAATATACATCTATTATCGTTGTATAAATATAAATAAATTAGGCATTGGAATACACATATCATCGAAATTTTAGGAATTTATTGAAATGCGTTTACATGAATACACACATGCACAAATCAAAGTCCGTAGATACTTAAATAATTGTCATATTTGCTGTGATATCTATTTATCAAACAGGTACAATATGTATTCGTATTACGTACGAAAAAAAAAAACACCTGAAACCTCTTAACGAAACATTCTCATTATCATATTATCAATGGTACTAACCTCAATAGACTAATGACTACATAAGTACCTACCGCACAGGTGTTGTTAATTGTTTTGTACGTAATATTTGGTACTCTTAACAGAATTAAATATCATATCATCAAAAACAAATGATTACAGAGGCATATTTCGATGACTCGCAACTTTTATAAAAGTATGTGAAAGTACCAAAATAAGCAACATTTATACATCTACATTACGCTATTGAATATTTGCAATTGCTCTTACAATAGAAAAAAAAAAGCGCACTAGAACAATTAAAGAGACCTATGATTTGTACCTACTCTGTTAGAGGGACGGTTTTGGTTGAATCGACGGTCGACTGCCGGAGCGGTACTTAAAGGTTGTCGCACACTGATCCGTCCCGTCGTGTCAAAATACGGACGGGATTACAATGTAAATGAAGGACAATCGCTCTTTAGTCTAGCATGCCACAGCTTAGGCGAAACGGAAATTTGTAATATTTCAGAGTCAGAGCAGAGAATGTTCACCCTCTTTTTCATTAATGGGGTGGACCTACCTGCTCCGCTTTCTGTTTTTATTTTCTTCATCAGCCAATAATGCAGCCATTACTATTACTACTTCTACAAGAGAACTGCTGCTTTCAAACTTCGTGAAACTGTCAGTGCTATGTGTAAACTAAACTAAAATAAAAACGCTTTTCACGGTACAGGACGACTAGCCAGTTTCATTTTTATCGGAAAAGCGGGTGGTGAACTATCCTTTGCCGTCATCGGGTCGTCTTGTAACGGACAATTGAGCGACAACCTTAAATATTTGCCATGGATTGGAGGAGAAGCGACTAAAGTCGTATTTACCGTTCGAAGCATCGCCGTTTTCTAAACCACCTAGTCAAAGGGAGAATCTAAGGTGCTCCAAGGTTTAATTTTCTGATTAGTCATTCTTCGGGTATGAAATTATTAGAGCTTCATGTTTTTGTAACTGAAGTTTATTGCAGTGATGATTCTACTATTCAGGTGAAGACGAAGAAGTTAGGTTAGGTAAACTTTAGGTCCCTTTTCAATTTTCCGATTATTCCTTTATCCATTATTAATTTCTAATTGAGTATGGGTGTACCATAATTTGCCACGCCTATAATATGTACTTATTCTAATATAATATGACGATTTAATCTTTATTATCAGGTTGTTTACGCCTATTTTATTGCACTTACGATTAATTGTTGTTTCAAGCATACTCATATTTGTTAAGATTTTTAATTTGTTTAGCGTTATTTAGTAATCTTTCAATGGTATAAAGTAAATACAGACAGTGATAAAAAAGCAGAGGATTAATTTTCCTTATCTGCCTGAAGAAAATACGCATTAATATTCTCATAAAAACCCAAACAAGAAAATTCTTTAATAAGTCCAGAAGATGTATAATTTGGAACAAAATGAAAACTAAATTATGAGTAGAAAATTGCTTCAAAATTAATTTAACTTTTTCAGCCGT